ATCAGCAGATTTGAATTTAATCATGTGCGTCAGGACAATAATGCACGAGCTGAGCCAAAGCAAACCCCGAACCGAAGGTTTGGAGCCTTGGGTTGACATGGATCAGACGTGGCGTTCTGATCTTTCCATTAAACGTAACGGTTTATCCAAGGCAGCCTTTAATAATAACAGAGTTAAGGGGACAGTGTCAAGATCTTGGACGAAAAGAAAAACAGAGAAATTAAGAAATCAGAAAAAATGGTGTATGCTTGCAACAATCGCCCATTTCTGACTATAAATAGATCCGTCTCTTCCATTTACATTCACTCGAAATTCATCAACAGCAGATTACAGTTCTGTGGAGACATTTCAAAGCTAACCCAGAAGAATCGTGCCGCTTCTGGTAACTGGTTCTTGTTTCGCTTTTGATTTTGAATTCATTCATGAAATAACTGGAATTTGTCTTCTTCTTTTGATGTTTAATTGCTAACTGGTTTTTGTTTGATTGTTCATATTTTGGAGTTTCCAGATTTCGTTCCAAAGCTGCATTATCTGTTTTGTGTTTTAAGGTTCATTCATGAGCTTTTGAGTTTAATTTCTCAATAATCTCTACACATTTGAATTCCAAGTGCTGAATCTGATATTGGGTATTCGGGGATTTCAGAGAAGCGAGCTAAATTTACCTTTGAAGAAGCGGAGAGCAGAGGAAGTAGAAGAGAAGATGACGATCAAACCGGCAGTTCGCATCGCCGAGAGGGATCTAATTGTGAAGGATCGCACAATCCTCACCGGAGTGCCTGACAATGTCATTGAGACTTCAGCTTCATCCTCCGGTCCGGTGGAGGGGGTTTTCCTCGGTGCGGTATTTGATGAGGAAAATAGCAGGCAGGTGGTACCCATCGGAACTCTACGCGACGTCCGGTTCATGGCTTGTTTCAGGTTTAAGTTATGGTGGATGGCCCAGAAGATGGGAGATCAGGGGAGGGATATTCCGCTGGAGACTCAATTTCTTTTGGTTGAAACCAAAGATGGGTCTCACCTTGAATCAGACGACGGCAATGAAGAAAACCAGATTGTCTACACTGTTTTCCTTCCGTTAATCGAAGGGCCATTCCGCGGTTGTCTCCAAGGCAACGTGAATGACGAGCTCGAGCTGTGTTTGGAAAGCGGCGATGCAGATACCAAGGCGTCGTCGTTTACTCACGCAGTGTATATCCATGCCGGCAGCGACCCGTTCGAGACCATCACGGATGCAATCAAAGCCGTGAAATTACATCTCAAAACATTCCGTCAACGGCATGAGAAGAAATTGCCTGGAATCCTGGACTACTTTGGTTGGTGCACATGGGACGCGTTTTACCAGGAGGTTACCCAAGAAGGGGTAGAGGCTGGGCTCGAATCTCTCGCCGCCGGTGGTATCCCTCCGAAATTCGTGATCATCGACGACGGCTGGCAATCGGTCGGCGGAGACCCACAGGCGGATTCATCGAATGAAAACGATACGAAACAAGAGCCGTTGCTGAGGCTGACCGGGATCAAAGAAAACGATAAATTCCAAAACAAGGATGATCCATCGGTGGGGATTAAGAACATAGTCAACATTGCAAAGCAGAAGCACGGGCTTAAGTACGTCTATGTTTGGCACGCAATCACAGGGTACTGGGGCGGGGTCCGACCCGACGTGAAGGAGATGAAGGAATACGGGTCAAAAATCAAGTATCCGATGGTGTCGAAGAGTGTGGTGGAGAACGAGCCAACGTGGAAGACCGATGCGATTGCCGTGCAGGGGTTGGGACTGGTGAATCCCAAGAGCGTGTTCAAGTTCTACGACGAGCTGCACAGTTATCTCGCGTCGGCGGGTATAGACGGAGTTAAGGTGGACGTACAATGCATTTTGGAAACCTTAGGGGCCGGTCTGGGTGGCCGAGTAGAGCTGACCCAACAGTATCATCAGGCCCTTGATGCGTCCGTGGCACGGCATTTCGCAGACAACGGCTGCATTGCTTGCATGAGCCACAATACTGATGCACTCTACTGGTAATTTTTCTTTAAAAAAACTATTACTAATGCAATTTAAATGGCACAACTTGAATGCACGGCAGGCCCCAATCTTGGGTCGCCCCATCCATGTTTCCAACCATTTCAGTCTGGCATTCCCCTGCAGGCTTTCTTTTCCCTTAAGAACTTTTATTTATTTATTTGTTTTTTTAAAATTTATAATGAAAAGGGAATTTTGTTCTGATCATTTGATGTGATGTGGTTTACTGTAACAGCTCAAAACAAACGGCGGTGATGAGGGCGTCGGACGATTTCTACCCTCGCGATCCGGTGTCCCATACTATTCACATCGCATCGGTGGCGTATAACAGCGTGTTCATTGGAGAGTTCATGCAGCCAGATTGGGACATGTTCCACTCCCTCCATCCAGCCGCCGAGTACCACGGATCAGCACGCGCCATTAGCGGTGGCCCTGTCTATGTTAGGTAAAGATGTCTCAGCACGTGATGACTTCTTTTACCGTCAAATCATTTCTACAGTTTTCTATTGGGTCCATATTGTCTAATTTTGGATCTTGTTTTTGAGCAGTGATGCCCCTGGGCGGCATAACTTCGACATTTTGAAGAAACTAGTCTTACCCGATGGGTCAATTCTCCGGGCCCGATTGCCTGGACGACCCACCCGTGATTGCTTGTTTACAGATCCAGCCCGTGATGGTGTTAGGTGGGTAACTTAATTAGTTTTATTTTCATAATCTATAGATATTATTTGGGACTGCGAGACAGAGATAGATGGGGAAGTATATCAAGGATCTACCCTCATCAAACGAGAAATTCTGCCTTATTCCTGGGATAGCACTGATGTAGTACAGCCGAAAAACATCACTTCAGTTGTTTTTTTTTACACGGCCCAGGATACCACATCAGCCATATTCGAGGGATAACCAAAATTTCTCCTCACTGAACTATCCATGTTGTACAGTCCATACAGTATTTTTTAAAAAAAAATTTGAGCATTTTCTTATCATTCTTTTTCCATTTGTTTCAGCTTGTTGAAAATATGGAACATGAACAAATACACGGGAGTGTTGGGCATCTACAATTGCCAAGGAGCAGCATGGAACAGTGCAGCTAGGAAGAACACCTTCCACCAAACGAAGAGTGAAACCCTCACCGGCCACGTAAGGGGCCGTGACGTCCATCTCATTGCGGAGGCTGCCATAGATCCTAATTGGGATGGCAATTGTGCCGTCTACTGCCACCGGACAGGTGATCTCTTAACCCTCCCATACAATGCAGCATTGCCAGTGTCTCTCAAAGTCCTCGAGCATGAGATCCTCACTGTAACACCTGTTAAGGTTCTGGCACCTGGATTTAGCTTTGCACCCTTGGGCCTCATCAACATGTTCAATTCTGGTGGTGCAATTGAGGGGCTAGAATATGAGGTGAAAGGCGGAGCCATGTTGTCTGAGGTTGATGCAGAATTTGAAGGTGAAAGCAGCCTACTTGGCAACGACACAGTGCAGAACCTCAGTGATGCATTGGTAGGAAAAGTATGTATGGAGATCAAAGGCTGTGGAATTTTTGGTGCATATTCATCTAAGAAGCCAAGAAAGTGCAGCGTTGGATCAAATGAGGTTGATTTCGATTATAATTCGTCATCTGAGCTGGTGAAATTCAGTTTGGATAAATTGCCAGAGGAACAACAGAAAGTTCACATTGTTGAATTTGAGATATAAATTTAGGGTAGTACTACATTTAATGAGGGAAATTTATCCCATTTTGATTTTACTATCAGTTGTTCTATGTATTAGAGATGGGGTCATGAAATTCCAATAAAATTTTTGTTTTCTTTTTATGGAAAAATAAATTCATGTTCTTAATCTTGAGGCAATAGTTTCCTGACACTGTCATTAAGTATGAAAGAAGAATCAAGCAGTTAGAGATACCAGAGAGGTTCATTGAAAACAAAATGTTCAATGTTCAGAGGGCAGTTCATGCCATGGAATACAACACAGGCCAAGTCAGAATAATGCTCTACAACCACACAATGCATTTCTGCCTAAGGGTAGAAAATAGTGGTACAAAATGCCACTGCAATTTTTTTTTTTTTTAAAACAATGCCTGAAGAGGCCACAGCATTCAGAAATTCCAACCGCAAATTTGATTTCAGAAATTCCAGAAACTCATCATCACCATCATCCTAATAATAATAAAGAAATCCAAAAACTTGTATGCCAAAAAGTGAAGACAATTACTTAAGTTAGAATTTGGACTCTGCTTCTAACACCTTTTAGTATTTACAGAAGATCTAAATACATGTTCTGGAAAAGGATTGGATGACAGATGTTAATCAAACAACATAATTGCATGAGATAGTGAACCAACCATCACTGTGGACTCTATTCATCAGATTGCTCCAGGAGTTAATAGAGTTCATCAAATTCATCATCGTTTTGCTGGTTGAGTCCCGTTTGTTCACAAAAGGCTTCCTTTTGGACATTCCAGTTCTCAACTACATTCTGTATCATGTCACCAAGCGATTCCTTACTGTCAGATATATGCTGTATGTTCTGCACATCCACCACGTCACTGGCCACTTCAGGACGAAATTTCAAAACATGGAATAAGAAAATGATTATAAGTATCAATGATATACATGGTATAAGCAAAATAAAGTTGGTCAATTCAAGAAAACTAGTAAAAAAGTTCATGAAACACTAAACAGTTTCATTCAGAAGTCATAAGGCCACTGGAGCTGATTCATTAATCAATGATGGGAAAATCCAAGATGTTAAGAATGCAGCAAAAGGGGAACAACAGCAACTTGCTGTAGTTTGGGCATTTTATTTTATTTTATTTTTAAATCATAGGACAATCCTGGGGATATTAAGCTATCATCAACAAAGTCGGTATAGCACAGCCATCAATATAATTAATAACGTACATGTAGTTGTCACTTCTAGAAGAGTTAAAATAAATTATTTTTAATTATTATTCTGTTTTTGGCAATTAGCAAAAACAGATTGAGTTATCAGTTGATTAGGATGTTCAAAAGGTTTGATGCACTTAAATCAAGAGTCCAGAACAAAAAGCATGATCAAGCACCATGAACGTAGGGCAGTTTTGAAAGAATATGCTCTCCTGTTTGATCATGCAATGAACAGAGAAGGAAAGAAATAACAAAGAAATGAACCTTCAATTGCTTGTTTCATGGCCTCTGCATGTTCCGCAGACATTTGCTTTGGCAGATCCAGATCAACCTCCCTACCCTGAGAAATGCAGTAATAAGAACACCAAAGGATAAGCAGAGTCACTTAGACCTATGCCTATTTCCAAAATATTATGGGAGGAAATTCATGGAACCAACTGCATGTATTATAATATTGGTATGTCAATAGGCTAGAGTGGAGAAAAGATGCCCCAGGACAATATACTTCCCTCACAAAGCAACATAGAACACATTCACTGCAACTTGCCCTCTGTAATTCATTTTGTCACATAACTCTATTTTTTTGGAAAGACTGGAATATTCTGAAGCTGGAAGTTAAAGAACAACAATTATTAGCCACTACTTTGTGTGCCTTTTTTATAGAATAATTTATTTGATTGTTATATATACTGTAAACTTCATAAACGATTTTAGGCATAATTAGAAAAGCTCAACATTATGCATGAATGAAATGTATTTATTATATTTTTCTGAAGATTTGTGTTTCATATAAAATGGAGCATTACTTGGAGAAAAAGGTGGCTGCGAGTAAGGAACTGACTTCATCCAACTTGATTATAAGGAAATAATACTTCAATTGGTCAATTGCCAGGATGAACATGTACACATGCCATCCTGGACATGCGAGCTCCAGATTCAGAAAATGAAAATACAGAAACTAAAACCCAGGGAAAAAACAATGCCTTTTAGATATGATTGGATATAGTGTAATACAAAACTACCTTCAAACTAATGTTTACCATCTTACAACTAGCTGAGATATAGCAAAGGCAAAATTATATTAGATGTGATTGGCCAATTTTAAGAAAGAATATAAATATAATTTTATCATAACATATAATGTGAAAGAGGAGATAGCTCAAAACTACCTATGTTTGACATTATGACCATGCAACTGATCAAAAGATTTGAAATTACTCCAGTAAAATTTAAACAATCTCAGCTCATCTAATCACCAAAAAATAAGGTTAAATATGTACTCATTTTTGCCCTAAGTCCTAACAGAAGTTACGACATTAGATATGCGAAACATATGTCTGCCCTCAGAGTGCAATAGGCTTCTGTTTTCTCATTAAGTTAAAAGTAACATACCAACTCCATATGGAGGTATTGCTCAATATGAATATTTTTAAATAACCTGTCAACGAAAAAAAAAGTAGCAGACAGTAAGAAGCCATTATCAAGAATAAATAAATAAAATTAAAACAATAATGCCTTTAATAAAAAGATAAGTACCAGCATACCTATCATTTGCAACTTTTATACAAGTATTCTGAAACTCTGTGAGTTGTTTAACTGTATCACTAACAGAGCCTTTATTTAAGTCCACAAACCCAAAAAGAAACATGTTTGTTTCTAGCATCTGGTTTCCCAATGCTGGTAATACTCTTATATATTTAGCTTTTGCATCGGCAACAAGGACTCTAAGTTTCTCCAGTTCTCCTATTAGACAAGGAACAGAAGTCAACTGAACAGAAAGACTAGAAGAAAAAATCATTATGCTCTTAAGCTGACATTGCCAGCATATACACTTTAAGAATTTTACCATCAAATCATTACTTATAATCATTCAGAATTCATAGTCAATTATAATAATTTAACAACATAAAATCAAATGGGACATAAGAAGGGAAATTACTAAAGAAAGTTATAAATTTCAAATAGGTTCCACCATAAAAGTCAATTTTATGCCAAAATTATTAATATGTAGATAAAAGCCACATTAATAACAAAACCACAGAAAGTATTATAGCATTGCTCATCACAGAAGAAATATAACTAGACAGAAAAGACTAGAACAAAATTTCTGGTGCATTTGCAATTGGATAGAACAAGGATGTATTGTTGGCTTTTCTATCAGCAGATCAAATATTTACATTATATTCCAATAAATCTTAACATCTGAACAAAAAGACATGCTGGTGTTATGGAATGAACATATCACCATACCATACTATCTATTTTAACAACCATGTATCTAACAAAAGGATGGTAACATAAAACAACTCTTAATCTAAAGCCAACGTGTAGATTATCTGTTTTGCCTACAAAATGGCATCCAAAAGGAATTCAGAGTAGAAAAGTTTAATGGGTCATCTTGTTCACAAAAATATATAAGTAAATTACCAAAGATAAGACTTAGAGATAATCAAGAGCAAAACATACCAAGAGAGATATATATTTTGAAAGCAGGTGTGAATGGTTGAGTTTCATAAAGGCAGTAAAGGCAATAGAGTCCTCCTAGTCTCCGTGAGAAAGAATCAGCATTGCAGATATGACCTGCATCAGAGAACATGAAAATCAGGAAAGCATATACACATAGTAGCCGGAGAAACATGAAACTTCCACTCTTAAATTATCGTTATGCAAGGGTTAAAGATAATACCTAAATTCAAGCTATTAGTATAAAACAAAAATATTCATGTTTTCACTTTTAGAGCATACGATCTCTTTTGATATTAAACCTGCATCCTAACATTGGCAATTTCTCCATCATATTTCATGGATCGACAGAGCCATTTCAACTATGAGAATCTAGAGTCAACCCTTACAAATCTTAATAATTTTCTTCAACTCTTCTAGGCATTCACTGTGCTGCAAATGGTCACATATTACAGGAAGGTAACCTAGATGCACAGTATTAGCAAGGATTTTAGGCCTAAAGTCAAGGATTCATTTCAAATTTACATAAATTTATCCAAATGCATTAGTTGAAGGAATCTTTAACCTTTTCAGGTTCTGCTTTTCAGAAGTGACCCAAAAAACTAGAGATCTACAACTTTTTGCATTCCTTCACGGAGAATTTTCAAAATAGAGAATTGTAGGCAAGCGTTTGGGTCTTGAAATGCAAAGGTCATATTGGTAAATAAATGGATGAATGATTTAAACTATCGTCCTTACCAAATCAAATTGAAGAAGTGGTCCTATGAAGTCTTATTATTGTTTAAGTATAGTTCTAACATTCCAATCATACCAAATATTAAAGTATCTAAACCACAAAATATAATAATAGCAACTTCATAGGGATAACACAAGGTTACTTTCCTATTGTAAATTAGGAGCAAGGATGTATGTTGTACATCCATACGTTGAAACATTTTACATATATTTCAGTCAACAATTGATCCAAATGGCTCATTGTCCTTGAAAGCAGTTACACTCTTTTAGTGAATTGAGTTAAAAAGTACTTTCCAAATGGCACAGAATAATTTAGAAGCAAGGAACCAACAGTCTAGCCTTTAGAGTCCTCAATCCGTTTAGTTATCAAATTGTGCATTTTCAAGGTAATCTTTGAAACAGCATTACTTTATATTAATTCAACACTTCATTAATTTAAATCGATTTCAACTCAAAATCTAATTTGAAAGTAAGGACAAAAGAGTACATATAAATACATACCAATAGAATGGGCATATAATGATTGCATAAAGAAGGCCAAGTTATTGGAAGGGCCAGCCTCAAAGATGTATGAGAACTTCCTTGAGAGAAAAACTTTCTTCATATCAGCCAATGTTGTTGATTCACCCTGTCAGTTAGAAAGAAAAGGAGCCAAATGTAAGAATCCAAAATGAAAATGTGAAAGTAAGGACAGATAAAAGAAAGAAAGGTGGTTGCACCTCAACAAACTCATCTATGAGCTCATCAATATCCATCTTGAAGGAAGAGAGATCCATCATCAGCTCTTTGACAACAGTGTCCATACCAGAAATTAAATATAAAAAAAATCCAAATTTCAAAAATTAAGTAAAATATAAAAAATATAAAAATAAAGAATAATAAAAATAAAATTTGAAGGCAGTCCCACCCAGGATATATTCAAAATTTCAAATGTGACATATTTCCCATTGATATATTTCTGACCAAACAAAAAATGAATTCATTTAATTAAACAAGAAAACTAACATGGCAGCTACCACTTCTGCTTGTTTCACTACACAAAACACCAACACAACAATCCAATTTCCTTTCAAAATTTATGCATCCCTCAAAAGATGCCAAATAGATGAAGTGTATGGAACAAAGTTATATCTGCCCTATCCAGTGGTCACTAAAAATGGGATCACTATGGTGTTTAGTACATCTCGCAAACATAACATGTCAGGGATAACATTGATATCCATATCAATAAACCAATGAAAAGAAACATTTTACTCTACCAATGCAAAACTCATGATGTGCATATGCATACAATGGAGAAAAGAGAAAAGCATAACCGACATATCAAGAACTAAAAGCTGTTTAGGATTAGAAATATTACAATCCAAGTCATGACTTATCCCCATACTCCACAATCGCAAAGGCAGCAAGACAGTATATATCATTCGAATAGTACAATTCTTTTGACCAACTAGAACAAAACAACTAGCTAGAACTTTAAAACTTTAATTAGCAGAAAAATTACAATTATTTGACTTTAAGAACATTC